CGGGGACCAAAGTTACACACCTATCTGAAACAACTAAAAACCAAACCGAAAAGAGAGAGAAAGGAAAAACAAGTGAAGCAAGCCCTGTGAGTACACAAGTTTAATGACTAGAGAAATGTTACACATCATAGTGCACAGAAAGGGGAAACTGATTGTTTCCTTAAGCCAAGCACATGGAATTGGGAAGTTCTAAGGTGGGACTTCAGGATTGCTAAGGTGGATAGAGTCTTCTGGACAAAATTCCAAAGATGAGAGGGCTCCAAACAAAGAAATCTCCAGAAACAATGTTATGTCTGGTGATCATTCCTGCTCCTGCTAGTTGGAGTATAAACCTCATAATTCATGGGGCATTGGTTGGAGTCCATAGAATGGTTTTGCATTAGAAGTGGGAAATATTAGCTATAGACTAAACATGGATTTTAAAAGCAATATGAGGTTGGCGCCACGGCTCACTAGGCTAATCCTCCCCCTGCGGCGCCAGCACCTGGGGTTCTAGTCCCGGTTGGGGCGTTGGATTCTGTCCCAGTTGCTCTTCTTCCCGTCCAGCTCTCTGCGGTGGCCCGGGAGTGCAGTGGAGGATGGCCCAGGTCCTTGGGCCCTGCACCCGCGTGGGAGACCAGGAGGAAGTACCTGGCTCCTGGCTTCAGGTGGGAGCAGCACGCCGGCCTCAATGCACCAGCCATAGCGTCCACTTTGGGGGTGAACCAACGGAAAAAGGAAAACCTTTCTCTCTGTCTCTCTCTCTCTCTCACTGTCTAACTGCCTGTCAAAAAAAAAAAAAAGCAATATGGTCATTTGTCCTTTCAATTATTGTTTGTAGCTATTGTCTATATTCCCACTAAACTAAGTACTTTTTGTTTTTTACTTGTTAAACTTCTTATTCATTGAACTATTAACTGTTTTTACTATAATGTAAATTTAAAATGTTATCTCAAGAACCAAAAAGGGAGAGAGAGAGAGAGAGAGAAGGAAGGAGAGTAGGAGTGAGAGAAAGAGAGGGAGACAGAGAATATCATTAGGTTCCTTAGAATTGTATTTACAAATCACATTGAATCTGTTAAAAACTAACTAAAAATTAAAATAAAACATTTAAAAAAAACAAGATTCTCTGCCTTGTTTTCTGATTTAAAAAATAAAAAATAAAATAAAAGCAAGATTCCAAATAGTCAAATTGTTTCCAAGTAATTTAATTGCATATTACAACAAAGCCTAAGAATATAATTTGCATACAGAAACACTAAAATATCTAGCACTCAACAAGATAAAATTCACAATGTCTGACATCCAATGCCAAATTACTGGGCATTCAAAGAAACAGGAAAGTTGGATCAATAATGAGAAGAAAAATAAAACTGATCTAGAAATGAGACAGATGGTAGAGTTAGAAGGCAAGGACAGGGGCTGGCGCTGTGGCACAGCGGGTTAACGCCCTGTCTGAAGCGCTGGAATCCCATATGGGCGCCAGTTCTAGTCCCGGCTGCTCCTCTTCTAATCCAGCTCTCTGCTATGGCCTGGTAAAGTAGTAGAAGATGGCCCAAGTCCTTGGGCCCCTGCACCCACGTGGGAGACCTGAAAGAAGCTCCTGGTTTCTGGCTTCAGATTGGCGCAGCTCCGGTCATTGCAGCCATCTGGGGAGTGAGGCAATTCCAAGAGCCCTAAGGCACATGCATTTGAAAACTTTGAAGATGAGGAAAAACAAGTGATAGGAAAGGTATTGGAGTAAATAATGAGTGAAAAATATCTCCAAATTTAATGAAAACTATAAACCTACCAATTCAAAAGCTAAGGCAGGCAGGAATTTGATGGAGTAGTTAAGAGACTACTTGGGGGACCAGTGTTGTTGCAGGTAAAGCTGCTGCCTGCAATGTCAGCATCCTACATGGGCACCAGTTCGTGACTTAGCTGAAAATACTCACCATTTTAATTGGTGCTGAGGAGTGACAAGGAAAAAGCAGTAGCAGAGACCTCTTTCCCAGAGGGCAGTTTGCAGCAGGGCTATGGATGAAGGTAAAAACAGGGATTAGGGTGAACAGAAAGGAAGAGCCTATGCAAAATCCTAAGAAGGCTGGTGTGTTGAAAGGGGAGATAGCCAGCCCCATGCTGAAAGTGGAGAGTACAGAGTAAGTGACTGGGAGGGAGGACATGTGCCTCTGGATGTTCAGCTGGGTTGGCAGGGTGGGAAGAGACAATGAGGACTTTGGAAAACCAGAAACTGAATTGTCACATATGCACAGAGAATTCCATTTTGGAAGGCTACGGGTTTTTGGCAGTGCCTGGCAGGGCAGAAAACTGGGATTCAGTACATTTGGCAAAATAGTATCCACATAGATGCTTATGCAGGAGCATGAGAAAAATCTACCTCTAAAGGAAAGTCTTCTATCACCGAACTTTCTCAGTAATGCTCAAGACTGTCAGGGCCCACTTCCAAGAGTGGGTAGAAAAATGTTGGGTGGAGAGAAATTCAAATTTACAGTACTCACTTCTACCAGATTGCTCTGCCTTCCATATGTTCATGGATTGAGTTTCTGTAGAAGACATCAATTGGAATAAGAGTTTCCATGTGTAAAATTTTGAAGACCAATATCTACCTGTTAGATCCACAATGCATTGTGTTGTCCTAACCCCCAAATACTTGGACCCAGTATTTCTTGTCCTTTACTATGTTTGTTATGAGAATCTGTGCTTAGTTACTACAAAGGTTCCAGCAGCATAAAACAGCACACTAGGTTAGAGGAGAAAAGTTTCAGGATACTGGTAGGTATACACTTAGCCTTGAGTATTATAAGCAATCTTATATACCAGATGTGACATTAAAAAATGCATTATATGTAACTGTGTATGTAATATGAGCCACTCTAAATATATATACAAATATATATTCACATAATATAATACATACATTATATATAAGCATGTATAAGTATATATACATAATGTGATGTGTAAATATTCGTATGTGTACTCATATTCATATGTTTGTATCTATATGCATATATACACATACATACTTATATATACAAATATATATACACAAATAGACTCATATATACATATAAATATGAATATTTCTCTATGGATTTCTGGAGAAGTTCTTTCTTACTTTAATATTATCCCTCTTTTCACCTTTATTAACATCTGCTTGGCTTTGGTGTCTTAGTTCACTTTATGCTACTGCCACAGAACATCTGATATTGGATAATTTCTAAGGAACAAAAATTTACAGTCTGAGCTGGCATTGTGGCACAGCAGATTAAGCCACCACCTGCAACTCTTGCATCCCATATGAGCATCAGTTCAAGTCCAGCTACTCCACTTCCAATCCAGCTCCCAACTAGTACTCATGGGAAGGCAGCAGAAGATGGTCCAAGTGTTTGAGCCCTTGCACCCACGTGAAAGAGCTGGATGAAGCTCCTAATTCCTGGCTTCTGGCTTTGACCTGGCCCAGCCCTGGCCATTGCGGCCATTTGGGGAGTGAATCAATGAATGGAAGATCTCTCTCTGTCTTTCCTTCTCTCTCTGTAATCTGTAACTCTTTCAAATAAATAAAATAAATATTTTTGAAAAAATATATCTTGAGGTTGGAAAGTCCAAGATCAAGGGGCTGCATCTTTCCAGTGTCTTCTTCTTGCATCACAACATCATGTGACTAGAGAGAGCAAGAATTCAAACTCACAGCCCAAGCCCTTTTATATTCAGCATTCATTCATTCATGAGGGTAGAGCTGTTAGCAAAGACAAGGGATCTGTCTGCTTCCGGTGTCATGGAATAATCACAGCCTCCAGTGGGAGCCCCTCAGAGGAAAGCTTTATTTACATGTGACAAATAAAGGAGGTAAGTGAGAAATTGTCTCCTTGAGAGGCAGTTTGCCTGGGCTTTTATAGCAAGGGTTAAGCAAGTGTCCAGGATATAGAAAAGGAGGGGTGAAAGGGTCCTTCCTATCAAGCAACTTACATCTTCATACACTACATGTTTAAATTCTTATTCATACTGGTTTCTTCCAGCTTTCCATGGTTCACTGGGGGGTCTGAAGTACAATATCACAAGATAAGCTTTCCTGGAATATCCCCTGAAGAACAAGCTCAGAAAGTAAAGTGTTTCAAATTCTTTGCCCCATGCCTGTGCTCCCCTCTTGCCTAAATCCTACATTCTTGGTTACAGAGCCTTCATGATCTAAACACTTCGCATAAGCCATACCTCCCAACACTGTTGCATGGGGGCTTAAATTTATAACACATGTTTTTTGGGGGGGCACATTCAAACCATAGTATTTTGTTAGTAAATAAATATGTTTGTAGGAGAATAAATGGTGTCTTGTAGCATGTAGGCCAGTATCTATACAATACTTATTTGACTTTACCTAAATCTACGGCCTCAAATGACTTCTGATGTTAATCCAAGCCTAACGCCTATCAAATACCCCTCTCCTAGTAGATCTGTGTTTTCTGTTCTCCACAGGACAGCCCTGTCTGCATAGGTACATGGTCCACACTGCACTTATCCTCCACATATTCCTTCAGTTCTAACCCTAATTCATATAATCACCAGCTCTTCCTCCTCCTCCTCATCTACTTAAAAGGAACATGGCCTGCAGAGCCAGCCAAGTTTCAGAATTTAGGATCTTAGTGGAATGTCCCTGTAATTTCACACAGAACCTCACTTCCTAACTCTCATGAATTTTCTTATTGCCACCCACGGACTGAATTAAGGGCTGTGTCATTTTCTTTGATTTTGTTTTCATGGTATTCTTTCTTAGCATGTGTTCAGTAACAGTTGCTGGATAAATGAAAAAAGAATGAGGGAATGAGTGAAAATACCATAGGACCCCTCCAGAGATTCAAAGTGTGGAGCCTGCCACCACTTGCTCCTTTTGGTCTCCATGAAAAAAGGGCAGAGTTGGCTTAACTGCACTCATTTAACCTCAGAATTCCTCTCCAGACCCAAACACCATCCCAGCAGCATGCTGCATTGGACCCCACCCACCCTGGCAGCTGAACAAGGAAGGGAGCCATCTCCCTGGGGTTTCCATCAACCTGCAAATGTCTGCACCAGAGTGCAGTGGGGCCTCTGTCCCAGACGACTCCTGCTGGTGACATAGGTCAGCTCTCATGGCTACAGGACACCTGCCCCCGGTACCAACAACTCAGAAACTGTGGGAGACAGTCTGAGGCAGAGGAATCATCTGGACCGTTTTTCAAGGCATATGCACAACCAGCCCTTCATCTGCAGAGTTGGATTAACTGGTCCTAGGGCATTCTTCCTCCAGGGACCCCTCCAGGCTGATGACTGTTGCCTTCCACTGCTCATTGATAGTCCCTGCCTCTCTCAGCTGTCAGTCATCAGTCCCCAGCCCTGTCCTTCACCTGGTATGTGTGTGTGTTTGTGTGTGGGGGGGTAAGCTGCAGACGGGCTCCACTGAACCCAGGGGATAAGACAGCAGCTCCCATCAGATGTTCGGGCAGCTCTCAGGCCTGGGGCACAGGTGAAGGTGCATGGGAGCATGAGAGTGGTCAAGAGATGTTGCACCCAGAAGGATGCAAGGAGACAGCCATCCTCTTCCTGAGGGTGACCGGTGAGGGGCTTGCATGCTGCAGGCCCCTCATCTGCAGATCTGCCCAGGTAGCACTGTAGCTGGCAGCTGGTGGGAAGATCCCCAGGTGTCTCAAGCCTATTCCTGTGTGTTGTCCCATGTGCCACCCCTCCTCTGCCTCTGGCCCCTTCCCCCACTGTGTGGAATTCTGGGTTCAGAGCTCTGAGCACCGGCCTGCCTGGGGTGCCGCACACTCGGTGCTTGATGTGTGTGGTCTCTCACAGACACTGGCCATTGCTCTTTCCTGGAACCTCCAGATGTCCATTGCTCTCTGAGGATTTCTTGCCTGTTCTCTTACCTTGGATGCTGGTCAGTCTAACTTATTTCTTTTGTAAAATTAAGCTGTCTCAGTTATTTTTGTTACAATGTTAAAAAGCTGACTACTACAGAGGGTGCTCTGGGGACAAGTGAAAGGTGCTGTAATGCAGAGAGCACTAGAATGTACAAAAATGTCAGCACCTGGCTACAGTCAGCTCTCAAAGAACCCTGGGGATTTGGACAAGAGGATCTTAAGTTAATGAACCACAGATAACGCACAAATTGTATTTGATCCTCACTGTCACCTTCTTTAGGCCTGCCTTTAGTACTTTGACAACATGTTTTTTGTATTTGTTTTGTTTTGTTTTGTTTTTGTCCCCAGAGAGACATCTTGCAGTCCTAATGAGAGAAATCAATTAGAGTCAGTAGGTTGGTCTCAGGCTGAGGGAGGAGGAAGAAAAGTGTGGGCCCCAGATAAATTCAGGCCAGGGATCTCCTTCTAGCCTGTCACTTCCTAGCCAAGGGTCCTAGGAAATGCCTAAGGTCTGAGCCTCAGTTTCTTCCTCAGTAAAATGAAGACATTCATCCCATGCAGAACTGCTAGAATGTATGTACTATATGTGAAGTACCTGGTGCAGTGTCTGGCATATAATGAAAATTTAATGATTGCAAGTTATTTTTAGTGTTACTGTGACCCAAGTCCTACCACCCTCTCCTCTGGAATTGTTGTCTGATGCATATCAGAACATGCAACTCACGTATGATGTGTAATACCAAACCAGCCAAAATGCTTTGTAAGTAAATTTAGCAAAGTTTCCCTCTTGGGGGTTATCTTTTAAAATTTGAATATGACGGAATCACCCACTGGGTACAATTCAAAGCTTCCAGAATTTGATCAAGGACCAGCTCCTTCCCTAACTCCCAGCTGATTTTCCACCCAAATCACTATTTTAACCCCACCCAGAACCTAGTCCTTGTTTAAAGTTGTCCAAATGACATGAAAGGGTAACTTAATTGAAATTTTCTTCTAATTGAGTTAGCTTAAATCCAGGCATCATTCTACCTGCATATTTATCTAGAAATCCTTATTTCTCAGGAAATCTTTGCAGATGCTGAGTATAAAATACCTAGTCTGCACACTGTTAAAAAAGAACTGACAAAAGAACTCAGGACACCTTCCATACATGCTGCAGGTGCAGATTCCTTTCTGCTTTATCCAACATCCAGAAAGGATTGTACATAGCATTATTAAGTTCCATGCTTTTCTCTCAGCTCTCAGACCCACTCCCTGAAGGAGTAGCCTCTTCCCCAACCCAGGCCCATCACACGGAACTCCTACAAAAGGAAGCATGGTTTTCCAAAGCCTCAAGCTGCCTTGGCTCATAGCATTTACACTCAACTATCTTCACTTGAAGCCCCGGCTGCTCAGCTGTCTTTCCCTGATTCTGTGGGTCTCAGAGGACATCTCTCCATCTTCCTCCTATCGTGGCTGCTGCTGGACTCTACCCTTCTCTGCTAGGGTGGGTGTGGCTTGAACCAGAATCTCCACTCAGCACATGGCCTTCCACAAAGCAGATACTCAACACAAGTTTGGGGAAGAAATAAGCCAGAAAACAAGAGTTGTGTTTATTACAGTTTAATTTGCACCTGAATAATCTAACAAGATATAGAAACTTATCTTTTAATCTTTCAGAGTAACACACTGAAAGGGATAAGGGAATCAATATGATAACACTTAGCTTTTTTTCTCTATGTATTGCTAAATGCTTTTACTTTTCCAAGGATACGAATATTCTACTGCCATGGAATTTTGTTCCAAATTACAAACAAGATGGAGGGCTTCCCAACTGGTTTTACAAAATAGCAAAAACTCATTTGCTTATTCTGAAAAAAAAATAAATATGTGAGAAATATAATTAATTAACAAATATTTAGAAGCTAATCAACCTTTTAGTAAAAGTAACAACATTTTTAAATGTTCGATATAAAGAAGATAAATCCCTAAATCCTCTAAAGAAAGCAGTAAGATAAAGATATTATACAATTCATTACCTCTAGGTCCAGCCTGACCCTCCACTACTGAGACTTTTGACTTCCCTCTGAGAACAGAGTGAAGAATCTGCCTAATTTTACTCAGGGTAGGAGATGCTGATGCTGGCAATAGAACTGGCACTGGCCATGGCAGTAGTATCTACTGTGGCAATTCTGGCCTGGGCTCTCTCTGCCTCATCTCTCAAAGCCTCCTCATACCATACTGGGAAGGATCTTGGATCACTTCCATTGATCTTGGCCAAAAACTCCAGAAGACTCATCTTGCTGATCTCAGCATGGGCCCTTGGACCCCACAGGAACTCATAGCGAGCAGGATCACTGTTGGGTACCTGACGCCACTCCAAGTACCCTTCTTGCACCCAATCTTCTGTGAGTAACTTTTCGGGCTTCCCATAGATATAGTGCCTCTCCCCAAGAGACAACCCCATCCCAATCAGCACATCCCAGATCTCTTCCTCAGGGGCATAGTTACCACTCATGAAAATGACACTCAGGATAAGTATCAGGAGGCCAGTCTTGGGCATGCCCTGGACATCACTAAGCAACCCATCATAGGTGAGGCCCAGGGAGATAACGAGGGCATAGGAGTGGTTAGTGGGGTCCACTTCCTTTACATCAATGCCAAAGACCAGCTGCATGCATTCAGAGGCTTCACTGAGGATCACAGGAAAGTGATCCTGGTAATTCTGAATGACACACATCAGCATTTCTTCCTTGGTGGTGGGAGCATTTGTCTGATACTTGAAGAGCAAGAACTCCACCAAATTAGACACCTTTTCCTCTATCTTACTTCTGAGAAAAGACTCAGGCTCTCTCAGGGCCTGTGAGGTGCTAGGACCCTCCTTATCTTGGCTGCTGGTACCCTCACTGGATTGGCCCCATGGAGTGGAGGTCATGCCAGTAGAGGAGGAACAGGATACCTGAGGACTCTGGAGAGAACTCTGTGTG